TTTTTTTTGCAAATCCAAACCTGAACCTTTAGCGTTCTACAAAGCTTTGTAGAAGCTACGTGCAGATTATGCGAATCCTCTGTGACACATTTTGCCTGTAGCAGCTTTAAATGAACAATGCTGTCAACACACCGTACAGTAGCACTTAAGTTTACTTTTTACACATCGACATGCTTTTTAGGACACTAGCTGTAAAAGCACTAGCTGTAAAAGCCACATGAACAAGGAAAACAAAGGGCACCAGAAAAAACAAAAACAGGAAGTGTGAACAAGTGGTCAGTACTTGCAGAGAAGCAGACATAAAAAAAAAAAAAAAGTTTGCCTTTTTAGTCTACAAAGCTTAGTGCAAGGTCTGCATATTTTGTGCCCAACTAGTTCCAATGTGCACAGCACATCTTTTAATATTACAATCAAGCAAAGTCCTTTCCTGAAGGCTGGTCACAAGAAGGCCACAATGACAGTCAGCGGGAGCTGAACTGCAAATTTTTCCACTGCTGGGCAAGCAGAAATTGCACTGAGTAAGGTAAATACAATACAGGAATGACAACACAAAAGGTTCAAAGTGGAAATTTGCAACAGTTTCTATTTGGAGAACAAAATCCAAGGAGAAATGCTTGACATTAGATTGAATCCTTTGAAAAAAAAAAAAAAAAAAAAACAAGCATAAATTACTGCTCATCTTCAGCCACCACAAAGGCAGTGATTGTCAATATGAATAAGCTCACTCCAAAAATCTTGTCTTCTCTCTGGATCACATGGAGTCAAGATGAGAGAGGTCTTAAGCTGCAGGTGTTTGACACTTGAAGCAGCCAGCATAAGACCGTGAACAGCAGTCAACTGCCGCAGCCGGCATTTTTAAACCACCTGGAAAGCATAAATAAGTCTGAGAAACCACGCGTCGTGAAAGCTATTCAGCCTCATCATTCGGAATGCTGTCAAAGGTTTCTGAATGAATACTGCTGAGATGTCTTCGAAAAGGCCCAGAAACTGCCTGACATTAGCAGGACTGTTCACTTAGGAAAATGTTGGACCCACGCAGTGGGAGCAGATTCAGAAGTCAGTGTCAAAACAATATGACTCCCTGCATTGCTCAACCACAATGGACTTTTACAGTGCTTTTGAAAGAAAAGCTAGTTCTTTCAAATAGTTTTAGAAAAATAACCACATAGATCTTTTCTTTTTTTTTTTTTTTAAAAAAAAGAAAGAAACACACTGTTTCTGTTGAGTTATTTAGACTCCTTTGATTTGGCAAATCTATTAAGAGGCTAAATGAAAGCAATGCTGGCTGTGTTTTCTACTAAATAAGGATATGGACACCATGGTGGCAAACCCCAAATCTTCTCAAAGAACGGATGCTCTGTTGTGGGTAATGAAAGGAAACCAAAGGCAGCAAAACTAAACTATTTTTAGGTTGTTTAACAGGATAAAGTCACATTACTTGTACCCGGTGTTACAACCAGCGAGTCTACGTTTGCCACTCTCCCCCCCTCCGAAATCATTGGATTTGTGAGGCCATAACTGGCTGTGGCGTCTTATCAAAAGCAGCTTTTATTTGCTGGTTGGAGTTGGCGTAAAAAACCCTTGATCGTTATCGGGCTTAATTCTAGTTAGAACTTGTTTGGCACAACAAAATCTTGTTTAAATTACCCAAATATAAGGTCCCCCCTCAGCCCCCCAATAACTTGTCAGTTAATATCTTCAAGTACTTGTACATGGCAAAAATCCATTAACTGACTTTGGGGTCGGCATTTATTGTGTCGTTTATCATTTACCGTGATGAATTTCATGTCATGATAAGAATTTTGATTTTATTTATCATTGTCAAAATTTCAAATTAATGTTTTGGAAAAAAAATAAAAAACTGTCCATATTATCAGGATTGTTATTTTTACAATTTTCTCCACTGCTTGTTCAATGAGTGTATTAATAAACGCAAGAATATTAAACACAGTTACTGTGTGCTATTAGGACACCATAAAATTAATCCCATCCATAAAATGGCCAAAATTACACATAGGCCAATATCAATAGGAGCACATGATAAGTAAACATCCTTTGAAAAAGGTGTGTCTCGTTTGAACCAATACATTTAATTTGGGGTGCTCCTGAGTGTTGAAGTAAGAGGGAAGAGAGATTTCTGATGCCTTCAAAAAAGCAAACTTTACCAGTTTATTGGATTACTTATAGATTTAAAAAAGGTCTTAAATATATTTTTGTACAAAACAAGTATACAAGTGAAGGAAATCCAAAACAATATCCAAGCAAAACCCCCCAAAATGTCCATAACGGAGCAACTACACTCTTGCTACTGTCGATATCAACATCCATTCCTTAGAGAAGAAATGGAAAGAGTTGAATTTCGCTGAAATGTTGAAGGATGATGACTTTAAATGGGCTGTAAGCACAAGAAATCCCTAAAATCCCCCACAGCTCAAAGTGAAGAGTCTGGTAAATGACAACAAGAAACGTCTCACTAAAATAATTTCGACCAAAGAGGGAAAGATTAGCTATTGGGCATAGGGTATCCAAACGTTTTGGTTAGATATTAAACACTTTTTTATACATCTTGATTTACCATCATTTGCTTGATGAGTAAATTGTTACAATTAAGTCACTTTCTTTGCCAGAGATAAAACAACAATAATCAGTGATGGATTTGTGAACATTCAATAGAGGGTGTTCAATTTTTTTTTGAAGACTATAAATAGTGTCTATAGTATGTTGAAGGCAACAAAGAAGTTCAAGACAGAAGAAAAATAAATATATGTTCCGTAAATGTTTAAAACGTTTACGGAACGTTTTAAACATTCCGTAAACGGAGTGTTTACGGAATGTTTGGTGCACTAACGTTAGCCGAGCTGTACCCAGCTGAAGTAAAGCATTAACAGCATAGTTGGCAAAGCAGGAAAAGTTAAATACTCACCACATAGCTTGAACCATTCTCACCCGAACGAACCTCCGTTTCGGGTATGGAAAAATGCATTTTAGCTCCAAACACACCCTGCAGTCAGTAGATAAGTCCTTAAACGCCTCCACTGGAGGCTGGGGTGGTAAGCAAGGCACCACAGCTTCCCAACAAAGTCTACTGCGGTGACTCTCTGAAGCCTACGAAGGAGGAGGCGGAGGCGGCTCTGACACAGTCCGTTCGCCGGTTCGGAGGTCCAGAGACGGCGGTACCAAACTAGGGACGAAAGCCTAGCATTTTACTGAGCGGACAGCTGCTCATGAATGCTCTAAACTTCTCCCACGTCAGTGTTAAACTTTTCTGTCTGCTGTTCACACAGCAGCCATGTTTGCAAGTGTTGGGTAATTACACCTTTACTGTGCGCATAAAAATGTCTCTTTCATCGCTACACGTTGTTGGTTAAGAAAAATAAAACCACCCACTTTTAAGAGCTGAGCTTGAAGGCATTCGGGTATTTCGGTTCATTGGCACAAGCAGATGAAGTTTCTGGAGAAAAGGTGCAGTTGGTTCCTGCAGTCCCTCAAGCGTCGCACACACAGCGGCTGGTGAACCTTCCCAAATGTGCGACAGTACCGTTGGTTTTGACTCTCGTGGCTTTCAGAGCTCCTCCGTTTGCTAAATAAAATCTACAATGTTTATATACCGGAGAAATGTAGCAAGGTTCGCTGAAAAAGCAGATGTGATGCCTCTACAACCTAGCCACTCCGTCCACAGTCAAGGTATCCACTGATGGCCCATCAAGAGGCATTGCAACAATCTTTCTGGGCTAAACCATCCCACCCTGGTTTATAGGGGGGTTGCACGAGCGTCCAGATAGTACGTTAAAGTCGCCGCCATATTGTGAGTGACAGTTCTGTTCCACGTACAAAAAGGCATGCAACAGTACAGTTCTGTTTCAGTAGTAATATGACTGTTCTGCTATCTTATCGCTGCCCAAGATCTTATTTTCCATATTATATACTATCTAAATAACTGAAAAAATAAATAAATAAATATAACACAAATGATGATAGTACATTAGTTGTTCAGACAACTCATCTTCTGCACATCTCAGAGGTTCTTCCTGGAATCTGCTTTAGCTACTCTACAAGTTTAGTGGCCACTTAATACTGGCATAGATTTTTGCTAATGATACTAGTAGTGAATTATCATCAGCCTTCGACACTTTTGAATGTTTGGACACATTTTAATACAACAGTGCTAATATGGACAGACCCTGATTAATGTGCACAAAATGAAATTATTCTATAACTATACCTACAAACCACAGAGAACGTTGGCAGCCTTGTGGCTATGCATATTTCTAACACACTGTTATATGTTTGCACTCATATGTTTTGCAGATATAGTTAATACTTATTTCTCAATGACAACCATGAGTAGTACTAAAATTAATTTATATTTTTTGTGTATAAAATTATTAACATTTGACGAAGTGTATGACGATCTACGTCATGATTCCATGTTGCTGATTAAATAAAATCATATGGTAATGACAGCGTATGCGTATCTGACAGATATGGCCGTGAGTTCGTGCGACGGGTATGACGATCTGACAGAACACCTGTTACACCGGACTATTTCACGTTAGTCAACTTTTTGTTTGTGGCGTTTATAGAACAAAAAATAAGGTGTGCATGGCTGTGTAATTGTGTAAGATTTATCAGAGAATATTTTATTTATGTTTCAAGACGAAACATTTTAACCTCTAAATTTTGAGATTGTTTATACTCAAACAGAAAAATATTCATATATCATAAATATTTAATTGTCTATGGCAGGGGTGCCCAAAGTCGGTCCTCGAGGACAGGCATCCTGCATGTTTTAGTTCTCTTCCTAGTGGTAGTAACAACCTCCTCAGCAAGTCAATGTTCTCCTTAGACCTTCTAATGAGCCATCATTTGATGCAGGTGTGCTAAACCAGGGAGAGAATTAAAACACGCAGGATGCCGGTGTTCTGTCACACACCGGCATCCTTATCGGTCCTCATCCGCATGCGTAATTACGACGATAAATTGCCAGCTTCCTGACACGTGACCACGTCATGTGACTTCAGTCAATAAAAATGAAAGCACTACTCAGCAGGTGTGAAGCTGTAGCTCTTGTTTTTATCGTTACGTTGTATTTTAACGCGAGTTATCAGCTGACTGGGCCGAAGGTAAGACTGGTGTGTTCACCACTGGAATAATGTCGCAGTAAATCCTAATAAACCGGCTTGTTTTGGTTGGTGTATAGACCTTGTAGGGGTTGTCAGTGTCAGTTTGTTGTTTACTACTTTTTTTTTATCTTGTAACCTGATTTCAAATAACAGGTATGTTCGTTCTGTGGTGGTACTGTCCAAAACAACACCTACGTGGGTAATTTCTGCTCTTCATCCGCTGGACGGCTTGACAAGAGGTGCTGTTTAGCAAATGATAACTCAAGCGACCCTGAACGCATCATCGGGTATGACAGCAATATGCTGCGCTCTAAGTGAATGTTGCAAACTATGTTTTCTTTTTTGGCCTTAAACCCACCCAAACTAGTGCAAAAAAATACAAACTTAAAAATAAAGGGGTAAAGAAAATAACTTTTTTATGTAGAATTTCATAATTCACCTGACATTATCAATGCGAATGTAAGGAAAACGTGGAATTTTAGAGTGAAGTTTTAGTAAAGTGTATTTTCATATCTTATTTTGATTTATCAGGTTGGATTTATCCAGTTGTTCACTGACTCAAGTGGAAGACCTTCCAGGAGCATCCACAGTGGTGGTGATGTAAGTACACTGCTGTATGGAGAAAAAACATTCATGCCCCTTGAAATTTTTTCACACTTGGACACATTTAAACATCTAACTTATGTTTTATATACCAACACAAAGGCATGAGGTAAAATAAAAATATTTGTAGAGGCAACGTTTGCAGCAGTTGGATGTTTTATAGCCCCTCCAATGGCTACAAAAGCATTTAGCAATGCCTTTGTAGAAATTAAGTAAAGCTTGATCAGACTGGTTGTTGAGAACTTTGAAAAAAATGCAATCAAAAATTAGACGCTTTTTTTTTTCTTCTTCTTCTTCTTGCATGTCAACATTTTGGAGCACTTTATGCTGTTGTACTAAATAAAACAAGTGTGAAGTTGTTCTGCACCAATTCTTGCAAATAATTATACATTAAGCAGAAATGTATTGACATTTTTCACATCTAATGTAAAAATTCTATGCTTATTCTTGGGTAGAACTAATGTTCTTAACATTTTTGTTCTTGATATAAGTTTTGCTTTTCTTTCCAGAGATCTCTCACTGAATCCCATTACCAACATCAGTAATGAGGTCTTCCAAGGATTTCTTGACCTAAACTTCTTGTAAGTGTCTTTGAAATGATCATTTTATCTGTCTAAAGTGGTTCTGGTATTTTTAAAGTCTTTTTCTTCAACACATATCAATGTGTCTTCAGGATTTTACCAGAGGACATAGCTTGTCCAGGTGGGAATGCTTCATGGCAACAGATCGAAGTCAAACAAGGGAACCAGCTTTGTAAGGACCAGAAGAACATGTGCGACCAGACAGGACAGATGTGTAGGTCAACGTTCAGCAGATAATTGTTACACAACATGTCTGAGACGCCTAAAACATATGTTTTGCAATGTGTGATGTTTGTTTGCATTTATTGGGAATCTATAGCTATGAATTGTCCAGAAAACTCCCTTTGCGGCCCCTATGGTCCTGGCTCCTTTGAGTGTCGCTGTGATGAAAATTACCATGGATACAAGTGTCTTCGGCAGGTGGGTACTTGGTGACTTTTTTTTTTTGTTTTGTTTGGTTGTTATTACTAAATTAACATAAGTGCAAAAACCTTTTAAACACATTTTTAAACTTGCTTACAGGCAGAATTCCCAGTTCTGAAAGTTTTCGGGCCTCTTGCAGCGTCCACAGTTGTCATCTCCTTCCTGTTGTGGATTACCCAGAGACGCAAAGCCAAATCACTCTGAGTGTGAGCTGCTTTTTAATCTGACAAGAAACTGACTCCTGAAAGGGATAATAATGCTGACAAAGCCCAGTGTGGCACCACACTCTGGTGTGAATATTTTATAAATGTTACTGTATTTTATTTTGGGGAGAGAAAAAAACTGGCATTTTTATTATAATTAATGTGATAGAATTTTTTAGATAAAAACACATTTTAAATGACCTAATTTTTTGACATGATTACCACTGGTGTTGTTTTTTTTTTTTTTTTTTTTTCAGAATCTGCTTAAAAAACTCTGCATTGTTTTTAAGTTTTCTATTTAAAAAATGCAAATAACAGTGAACACTGAATTCTGTCAAACAAGTGCTAAATGTGTGTGAATTTACACCAGAAATAATGTTTTAGAAAAAGTTGAGCAACAACTCATTGCATGCTGACTGTGTGGTTTACAAGTTTTTTTTCTTTTTTGGGGGTGGTTAGCGGTGATGCCAAGAAGGGGCTGGTAGAGGGCAGCGGGTTAGCTGTGTTAAATTTAAACCAAAACTGCAAGTTTAGTTGCACTTTAATGATGATTTTAACCTCTTTAATTCAAAAGTGTTGGTGTTTAAATGTACTCAGGATGAAAAATTTGATGTTGTAGTAAATATTTCCCTTTGTTTGTGTCCTGCCTTGGCAGCTTTGACCAACCGGTTGGTGGGTCTGGCTGCCCAGCAGTGTCATGGCGGATTTGTTGTACAGACTTTGGAGATTTAATATTCCTGCTGTTGTATAATTGCCTTTTGTTTTTTGGCTAACTGACAACTATTCAAGGGTCCAACATGGTCAGACTGAAGTCGAACTGTCGATGCGCGGTCACAAGGTTGCAGGATGTTCGTTTTTGTAAACACTGTTCAAAGTCCACAAGAGTTTGAACAGAGTTCCTGTGAAACCCTTCCTGCTACAGAACAGGTCATGGTGTTTTGTCATGTGTGGCTTACAACAGTGAAGTAAACACAGAGGTCATAGCAAAGAGGAACGACTATTGCGATTTCAGAGGTGGAGGAAATGATGCTTGACTAGCTGCAGTGTCTCAATTTTACTTATTAGAAGCCAAAAAAAGAACAAAAGGCCTCAGTGGGACATTTGATATCTGCAATGGACCAGAACCAAAGTTTAGTGTTGTGTCCAACAGTATGTACTTCCTCATGGCTTGGGACAATTCCTCTTTAAAGTTATCCATTTTGCTCTCTGGCTAAAAAAACGGCTTCTGAAAGTTGAGTAGTTGGGGATTGTCACAAACGCACCCACACCCAATTCAGACTTGACACACAATAGTTTTGCACACAGAGAGGGTTGAAAAGTTCACCAGGGAGGTTGTGATTAGAAGGGATGGACAACATGAGGCTGAGAACAAAGTGACAAACAATTTCGGCATTTCGACTCAACCATGTAGGGCCCTCAACCGTTTTTCAGTCTTCTCTTGAAATGCACTCCACAATCTGGATGTGTCTTTTCTATTGTATCTATTTATCTTGTTTAAAGTTCAGGGTTTTAATAAAGATTTTACAATAGTTTTATTTTCCTCTTTTTGAGAGATTTTACTGCTTTAATGTTAGATCTTGTCAGAAGTTTCCACTGAAACATTATTTCCAGTGAAATATTACCCAGGTTTTCAAGATTTTTTTTTTCTGGAAAATTATAATGAAATGAAGTTTCTGCAAAGCATCAAAAGTTTGATAGTAAAGATCTTTAAAGCCTCACTTTTCCTTTGTGAAATGGTGCTACATTGTGCTGAAAATAAACTGATTTTGCTCCTGCATAACTCATTGCAGCATTTATTTTTGTAGAACAGTCTTTTTTTTTTTTTTTTTTTTTGGTAACCCAACCAGGGAAAATATTTTTTAAAGAAAATAAAAGTCCTCTGTCAAATTCTGCAACATCTTGTAGGATGTCGGTCTTTATTTTTCTTTAAACGACTTCTTTCCAACATGCATACTATTAAGCCATCAACCAAAGGTATCTGCCTCATGCAGAAACACTGGTCTCATGCTCAGAGGTAGGTAGTAGCTAATTACAATTACTTACAATAACTATGGAAGAAAATTACTTGCAGTAAAATTTCTGCATAACCTACCCACTGTAATTTTACTGTGCACAAGTTTTGTTCTAATGCCATTTTCTATCCACTGAGCCTGCTGTGACATATGGAAGTACTTTACCTTGTACTACCAATTAGTAATGCAAACATACTGCAAGTATAAATTTTAGTTTTTTATGAAAGAAAAGTATTTGGAAAAATTTCTTCTACGTAAATATTCGTATAATTTTGTCCTTAAAACAGCAGTATTTCTGCATAATCTTTACATTTTTGTCTTAAGTTTTAAAATAAGTCAAATGATCTGATCAGTTATTCTGATCTGGTATTTGAGCAGCCTTCTATATTAAATATTACTCTTGCATATTTCCTTCAACTTCTACTTTTCCATTGAGTTGAAGTACTGTAACTCCTTGAGTACAATTTTTTTTTTTCACCCACATCTGTGCATGCTTCACTCTTAAGATCTGCACTGGTGGCAAGTTAATATCTTAGTTGGTTCTCTTTAAGGGACAGTGCCCAGTACTCGCTGGACTTTTTCTAGAAACCTAAATATTTCTTTGCATCAAGTTCTTGATTTGATAACTGTGTGGTTTCTATGCACCAATCTGCCCATTGGATATAAAGCAATGGCGACGCAAATAAAGTGATCATTGTCAGTTAAAGAGCAATTGTGAAAGCACCACTCCTTTGCAATCAGGAATCATGACCATGTAGGAATAATGTGCTTCTTCCAAGCGCCTGAGGATCATGTGGTGACTGTGAGGATAAACTACCTTTGTGCTTGTTTAAAAGACCATGAATGTGGTTTTATAATAAACCACATTCATGGAGCAATAACATTCCTTTCAGAGGCCCGAGTTTCAGTTTCAAATACAAAACCTTTAATGGTTAGCTTTCCACACCCACAGATGACCTCCCTAGTGTGATTTATTAATATCTAACAACTCTCCTTTTTAAAAGACCCAGAAAAAAAAAAAAAAAAAACGCAAAGGAAACTCATTTAAAAGTTTATGCCATTTCAGATATACATTTATTGCATGCTAAAAGCACGACCTTGCGCGTCAGACAAGCCGATATGGAGGGTGCTCACTGATCGACATTTTTGACCCGCAGCACCACGGGGACCGAAGTGCACGGGATCATTCCCAGTTCCGTGATGACCAGGTCCACGAAGTCAGGAGGCGTCACATCGTAGACGAGGTTCAGCAGACCCAGGGAGGGCTCCTGCTGCCAGTTCTCCAGCTGGGTCTGCCCATTACGCGTCACGATGAGGTCGTCAGGGTCATCTGGAAAGGACCAATGAGGATCAGCCGACAAACATCGACACGTTAGAAACAGAATGTGTTTACATACCCAGTTCATTGGATACAAATGAGTCCGTCTGCACCCTCTCACAGAACTTGTAGGTCTCGCAACAAACCAGCACAGGCACGTTAAAGGCTTTGGCCACCAGAGCTATTTGTGAAGTTCCCACTCGAGACATGACGTAACCATTAGCCAAGAGGGCGTGAGCTCCGAGGAACACCTTCGATACCTAAAACAACAACAAAAAAAAGTGCTTATAGCTAAACTTTTTAGCAACTCTCTGATCAACAGATGACGGCAATTTCTGATTACCTCTGGAAGAATGTAGGACACAGCTGAGATAAGGACATATGTGCAACTGATGCCTCTCTGTACCAGACGCCTCAGAGCCTCCCGGCCCTCAAGCCGAGGCCTGCTGTCTACAACTATGACGCGAAACTTCCTGTTTTTCTCCAAGGCCTCGCAGAGGATGTGGTTGACCAGAGAAGAGCTGACCGAAGCAAATATAAAAATTTAGACTTTGTGACGTCAGAGTTAAATATGGAAAGAAAGGGAGACGGGAAGGTGAAAAAGGAAGAGAATGTGTCTAAAAATAAAAAAAATGGGAAAATCCATTATTGCTCTTTAACTAATACAACAAATCACTGCTTAGTAACAAGAAATATACAATGTAGAGTTAATAGAAAGAACTTGCCCAGATTTCTGAGCCTTACCATCCATAAATGAGGATGACGTCTCCATCACTGATCTTTTCTATGGAGGACTCTGCTATAGCTGTAGCCGCAAGAATGATCTTTTCTTTGATGTACCACTCGATGCATTTGAGCAGTTTCTGTTTTGCCTGAAATAGAAAAGAGTGCTTCATTGCAAGTCAAAATTACATTTATGTTAGTCGGACCCAACAGCTTTCCATTCACTTTATCTTAGCCAGAGTAATTATTGTGACAGATTCATTGGCTATAGCTCTACTAGTGAAAATCACATCTTTAATTTTTGCAACCCGAGTCTCTGTCAGCGGTTAAAGAAGCTCTAATGTGGACATAATAACCTTGTATTAAGCCTAAAGAAAAAAAAAAATACAAAAAATAGAAAGGAAACAGTGGGTTTAGTAGTGATGTGGCTGTGATATGCAATTTTTTTTAAAGGTTCAATATGCTTGAAAAAACTTAAGTGGAGGGGCCTTTTAAAAACAAGCAAAAAACTCAAAACACAAACCTCTTCTTCCTTGCATTGACTGGGAATATTGGAGATTTCTTTTTTGACATATTTGATGGCGTTGCCCATGCTGGCTGACAGAGGGCGACACTGGTTCAAAAAACTGGAAGAAAACAAAAGGCAAATACTACATTTTAAACAACAACAACAAAAAATATACAAATGTACTAATCGTTCAGGTTGGGCAAAAGGTTACAAAGATACTCATTACTAATTTTTAATACCTAATATAAGGTTTCAGTCTGTTGACCAAGTCTCTAGACAGCTCCTCATTTGGAGGTGTAGTGTAGTCCCTTATTACCTGCAGAAGAAGAAGAAGAAAAAAAAACAGTTTCAAAATCAAGCTTATTTTAAATTTGTTCACAGCAAATTGTAGAAATTTCCATTAAATTTTGAGCACATGGAATGGCATAGCTCTACTACTCTGCTTCAGTTATACAACCCATAATCCTGTGCAACATCGCTATGACTGTCACATGCCCAAGCAAATACCACATGGCAAAACCAATCCCAAAACACTAACTGCAACAAGATGGAAATAAACATCGGCTGTTAACATAATCAATCAGCCTCGTTTTATTTAAGAGACCGATACGTTAAATGGGAAGACTAACATCAGCCAATACCGATATTAAGGAGGATACACTGTGCATCCCTAGGTAGAAGTCTAGTAGTTTTTGGATCAGCACCTGTCTGAAGGCATGCAGCAGGGCAACAGAGCGAGCATTGGACCCAGCCACAATGCCCTGGGAGTACTGGAGGCCCAGTCGCACAATAGCAGGATGAATCACCGTTGAAGGAATGCTGCAAACAGTAAAAACACAAATGCTGAAGGTGGTTGGAGCAGATTAGGAAGAGTTTTTGAGAGCAAAACTAAAACTTTTCGTAGCGAAGATAAACAAGCAACTGCTGAGCTCACCTGAGTTGCTGTGTTAGGGGAGCTTTGCGACTGTACTGGTGCAGATGAGAAAACAAGCTGACTTTGTAACCATAGTCTAAGCGCAGTGGGATCTGAAACCAAGAGATCAAAAAAAAAGAAAAAAAAAGAAAAGGAATTACTCCTAAAATTAAATTTACAGACACTAAAAATGCCAAATGAAACATGATTTTTCTATTGCTCTCCAAATACAATTACACATGCAAAACTGATTTTGCAGGATTTTGCAAGAAACTCAGAGCTTTAAGCGAGCAGCAACACAACAACACAGCAAAACAAAAGAAATGTAAATCTAAATAGCCACAAATACTACAAAAATATGTATGTTAATTGTCAACGGCAAACATTTTAAAGACTCTAAACTCGACGGCTTATACCTTTTTAGCAGAATTTTGCCCTGGTGTCTGGAAAACAATGTTAATACCATGACATGCAGTTCTAACTTTCAGTGACTGCTTTAGACCTACATTTTGTCTGGTGATAGCCACAAGTTGCAATGCATTTATCCAGATTTCGAGTTTGTAGTTGGAACATAATTGAGAAAATCTCAAGGGGTATGAATACTCTGACAAGGCGCTGCTCTTCAATTTTTAAACAAGTTTATAACATGTAAATCAATCGTACCTGTTGCCTTTCCAGCTTCTTGGCCAATTTCTTTAACACGTCTGGATTATCCACTTGAATGTGTTCTGGCAGCCTTTTTACCACTGAAAACATAGATCTTTTTTTACTCGTGTTGCCATGATACTTAAGTTAAAGCTGTTTCATCACTTTGACTGAAGTGATAAATAGTGGTAACACTTTTGAGGTTGTGACTATGAAATGCTACCTGGCTGCAGCTCATTCGTGGCTGCTTTTGATTTGCTCACAGCACCTTGTGGTCCCGGATCTCCTTTCTTGCTCTGTTTGCTGGCCCTCTCGGCCTCTTGCCGAGCTCTCCGTTCGGCTTTCAGTTCAGCTTTACTCTTAGCAGGCTTATCTGCTGGGGTGGGACCCTCTGAGGCAGGCACGGAAACTGGAGCAGGCACTGCTGAAGGAGCTTGAATAAGCAGAAGCATATTGTAGAATAAAAAGTTAACTACAGCGACCACTTAGAGCTTATGGTTCACAGACAAACATCCCAGAAGTCATTTTACCTTTCTGAGCTGTGGATTGCGTTGAAGGCTGTGGTGCTGAAGCAGGTGAACTGTCACCCCTAGTTTCTTTACCACTCTCCTGTATAGCCTTGTCATCCTTTTTCTCTTTGCTTTTCTTCTGTTGTTTCTTCTCCTTCCTCAGCCGCTGCTTCTCCTCTTTGGTCAGCTCTTTGCCTTCACTCTGTTTGAACATTTAAAGATGATCATGTCACGACTGCTACTCACTCACGCCAGACTGTAGTAACAGGTTGCAAGTGTCCAAAATAAACTGACCTTTGCACGTTCAATGTCACCTTTCTTCTCATTTCCATCTGCAAGAATAGTGAAGATTGTAACATCATGGTGTTCGTGACGCTAGAATGAGCCGGATGAGCCTCTTTCAAGCCATATGATGCACTTATAATACTTTGATTTCATAACTTTACAGTGAGCTAACGTCAGCTACAAAAGAGATTCTCGTACATAATATCGACACCGTATCGACAGCTAAAAATTCAAAAACATAGCAATGATAACCAAGAAAATACAACTCCAAAAATGATGCAACATCGCTACGTCTGCTGTTAAACTACACTGTCCATGCTAACGTTAGCAGGACTCGCATCTGAAATAATAAACCCGTTAGAACAGAGGAAACTTAACCTCCTCGAAACTAGAACAATAGCTGCGTTTTTACTCACGTAACAAATGGTTTAAAGAAAGAAAAACAGCTGCAAAGTGATAAAAAGCGCAGCTGTTACACATTCCCAAGCTCACCTGTCACTCCACTGTCAGCCATCTTTACGATACGGCTTCACTTCCTCTGCTGCTGCAGCAACATCTGTGTTCTGCCCACAGCGCCATCTTCTGGAGGCAAAAGTGTTCAACTGTAATTTCACAGTAATTGTCTTATTTGCTTATTTTCATTAATTGCGTCACATTACTTTACAAATTTTCTCTGCAGTTCGATTAAAAGTAAGCCTCGGTCACAAATTTCATGACAAAACCAAAAGTAAAGACATTTTCTATATAAAAGACACAAAGGAAAATAAACCAATTTTAATAAGTGAGAAAAAGAAAAAGTAAATGAGAAGCAAGAAAATATCAGGAGAAAATAAAAAGAGAGAAAAAATACGTTGCTATTTTCCATCAATCTCACATCTACATAAAGCATTCACCCAAATTCCTGCAGTTCTAGCAGATCGTACATCGTAAGTGTCCCTTTTTGCAATCACAATTTAATTTCCTGGATTAAAACCTAAAAAACAAAACAAAACAAGTGTCTATTGATGGTTATACAGTTCCACGTTGAAATTACACATCAGAATCAGCTTTATTACTCATGATTGTGTTCATAAATAAGGAACTTGATTTCAATTTTCAAGCACTCACATGAACTTCATAGAAAACAAAATAAGGCTAAATGAAGACATATGTGCACACAATTTTGATTTTATAAGAAAGAAAAAGCAAAGGACTACTGTGCAATTAGCTAAAAATAGAATTTCACAGTTTTGGTTTTAATGAGTCCTGGCATCGTTTTCTCAAACTGGCTCAAAGAAAATCTTACTCTAAAATAACCAGCAGATGTATTTTCTTTAATTAAATGATTTTATTTTGGAAGAGTTAGCTTGATAAATACATGCCATGAATGATGGCTACTAAATGATGAATGATGCTGCAGTTAAGGAGGTCCTGAATTCAATTCTTGCTCTGTATGTCTATCTATCTATCTATCTATCTATCTATCTATCTATCTATCTATCTATCCATCTATCTATCTATCTATCTATCTATATATATATATATATATAAATATATATATATATATATATAGATAGATAGATAGATAGATAGATATATAGATATATATTATAAATATATATTATAAATCCTCTTCTTTCTCTTGGCAGTCTTAGAAAATCAAGTGGTCACTCTAAATTTTCCAAAGCTGAGTGTGTGTATGTTTTTTGTTTTGTTTTGTTTTTTTAAAGTTAAACATTGTATACCTGCAGGAATACTCAGAGTGCTTCTTCATTCTGTTGTATATAAACCTTTGTCAACTTAAACATTCAATGTGATGTAAGTATTAACTCCTTGTGGGCATCATGCACATAGTTACATCGATAATAAATTGACAAAACAATAAAAAAAAACAACTAATGCAATGACTGAGTTTAATTGAATTTATTTGAATTTATTGCCAGAATGTTACAACTTATGGACAGCTTATTTCAACGTATGGCACAAAGTTGGATTGGCTTGATGCGCATAATAAGTCCAAATCATGCGTGCTCTCTGTGATAGAGTTGTATTCTATTCTATTATACAGTTATAGCTTCAATGGTTAGTGATTAACTGTAAGTGATTAAAAATTTCCTGTTTCAGCAACATGAGGGTGTGTACAGCAGATAACGGGAAATTGGTTTTAAGGGATATTTTCTATTTAGAGAGGTGTGATTAGAACGTAAAAACCCCGTATTGGCTTATTTTAAGACAAGAATAAAGAAAAAGTGTAGACGTCAGAAAAGTACATTGTTAGTGATCCTTTATTTGACTTGTAAGCACAAACTCCTATACTTGGACAACTCAAACGAAGCAGCAAAAACAAATCTGAATACCCTGTAATACATAAACGTCACATTTATTCAGACTACAACGTCCACAATGAGCTGTGACAGTGTCTCTGATTCCCTGCCGACAGAATTCACGACGCAGTAGCTGGTTGAAGGGGACCAAACCTCACTGAAACACCTGACTTGGTTCCGTTTGACCAGCCACAGCAAGGCGTGTTGCTTCGACTGCAAGAGGCAGAGGAAGAGAGAGGCAGGAAAACAGTCAAACACAGAGAAAGAGAGAGCAAGAGGAGGAAAAAGAAACGAGAGCAGGAGATCCTCTTCAGGGTTACCTGATGAAACACAGAGCAGAATAAGGTTATTAACAATCAGAGCGAGTTACAACATGGAGCGTCACTGTGTTACCGAGCAGACAGTTCCTATTTTGAGGTTTGGGAACCCTGACAGCTGGTGACATCTCCTTTCCTACCTCCAAACCCAGCCCTGCTGGGGCGAACTTTCAACCTCAGTGACAGCTCCACATCTCTGCCCTTCCTCCCTCCCTCCAATCGTCCTTTTATAACTTCTGTGGTTGCTATAATGGGTGACAGCTGCGGCTGGTCAATCCTCCTCGACTGTCAGCAGTTGGGGCAGGGCAGGAATTTTTTCAAGTTGTGTCCCTGAGACCCCCTATCAGCGGGCAAAGGGAGTAATGCAAGCCATACACGTGCCTGGGCTGAAGGAGAGGGTAGCAGGCCTTTCACCTGTTACCCTCCCCACACGCAAGCAGGCTCTTAATCGGCGATGAGAGGAATCTGAACTACAAATCAAAACGATGTTCAGTAGGAAAGAAAATCAGAGCTTCTTCTGGTTTCCGATGCTCAGGTCCCCCTTGAAACCACACACTTCCTTACATTCCATAAGTGGTGTATTAATATGGGGATATAAGGAAGCATGTCCTCACAAGGGGAAACAACTGGATTCAACTCTCCTCGGGACACAAAGACACCCTTTCATACACGCGGAGGAAGAGCGGAGGCAACAACTGGCTAAGTAATGGTTAACTGTGACAGAGGGAGAGGAATGGCAGCACAGGAATATTTGAAAAGCAAAGCTCATCTCTGGAGAGGGGGAAAATTTCATCCTGAGAGAGACTGCGAAGTGTCCAAAGAAAATTGAGAAAACACATATGGTTTTAAGACAATGTCACATGCGAATGGGCTTGCATTAGAAATTGATTATAGCATCAGACTATGTTGCAACAAACACAGTAAATAAAATAAAAAAAATAGTTTGAATACATTTTAAAAGTTATCTGTTTTGCCTCAACTTTCTGTTTCTCACTGTCGATTAAGTTGACCCGAGAAAGAGGCCAAACACACCAGCTCTCCTTCAGAATAACCTGGTGGCCTAAATCTAACCCCACGCCGTTTACTGTCTTCTTGAACTAAGGAAAGTTAGCTTCTGTAATTAGAGTTTGAATGTTGCTCTGAGACACATGTCAAGGTACCGACTTTTTCTGACTCCTTCCTGTGTCACACCTCGGTGTCCCCCTCAGCTGCCTGTCGGAGGTGACAAGCTCTGCCGTGGTGTGTTGCAGAGAGAAAACATCTAACAGCTGGTCTCAAACCTGATTTTTGTCACAGTTTTTTCTTTAAAAGAAACAAATGTTACCCCCCAAAAACAATCAAAACGACTGCTTGATCAATTTCAGATTACTTTGACTAAAAACAGTACAACTTTTATTCAACCAAAACAACGTTTTAAACTGTGACCAACCTTTGGTCAGGTCCCTGAAGCCTCCATTTGCCTTCTATCCACTCAACTCATCTGTCCGCTTCAGCTCTCTTTGCGATCATCCGCTCTCCTCGGTATCTGGCCCGGTGGATTGTGCCCGCAGCAGGCCATGCAGACCGGCCTTTTCTATCCCTACCAGGAGCGGGCCCCCTCCAATGCGACTTCCCACCTGTTGGTGTCCTTTAGGGAGCCCGGGGCCTCTCCTGCGCCTCCTGTCTGGCCCAATCAGGGCCCTGACAGGGAGGGGAGCGAGCTCTGTGAAGTCACACCTTTCAGCTGTTCACACTGGGCTTGAGACACCCAACACCCCTCTGCCGTTCCTCTGTTCAGCCACCAGCCCCCCACACACTCCCTCCAGCTCACAGCCCGCCTTACCCTGCCTCTATTTTACAGAGGATGTCAATGACTCCTTTTTTTAAAAAACGAGGGCGGAGAAACAAGGAAGCAACTGCAAGAGGGGCGGGTTTCAGCAGGTTTCTGGGGGGTACTTTCAGAGTCACAGCTGAAGACAAGGTTGTAGTTTCATCTGGGCTCCAGTAAGACAGAAAAAAGAGCCACGTGTCTCGCTATAACAGGTACGAAAGAGACTTTATGTGAGGAGGCAATTATCGTTTTGGGTTAGTGATGCTACAAGATACGCACATCATCATATACAGTAATATTTAAGACTTTAAAGTTTGGTTGGTCTTGTGGCACCGAATAAAAACAATAAATGCTTCTGAGGCCTAACAGCAACACAAATCTAGACGTTTAGTTATATTATAGTCACAAATGTTAATGTGTTTTTGTGTTTTGGGGATTTTGTAAAAATGAATCCAAATTCAATTAGTAAAGAGAAGCTCGCTGAACACCAATTTACCATCTTGGCACAAATTGTCAATTGATTTTAGACATTTTGAATAGAATAGAATAGAATAGAATAGAATAGAATAGAATAGAATAGAATAGAATCATCTTTATTGCTTTATTGCTATTAAACGCATCCACAGGTGAGCTTTCAATTAACTCAAATGTGTCAGTTAACCTTTGAGAGGTTTCCAAAGCCTTCGCATCATCATCTGGGCTTTTCCTAATTTTTTTAAGAGACAGTAATCATGTACGCAGTTTTCCTACTTTGAAAATGCCCTAAAGATATCTAATGCCTAAAGATTTGTGCCATTCTCAGTGCATAAAAGCATCATTTTGAAAGTGTATCTATTTTAGTTACTTAGTTCACTAAATGAAACACATTATATAGCTTAATTATACATCTATAATTAATCTATGCAGATTAATTATAATCTATATGGATTATGAGTGGAAAATCATATTTCTTATGATTTTCCCACTCAGTTAATGAAACATGACATTTAAGATTAGAATATTACTTTAAAGCTTTTTAATATAAATGTGGACTTCATGAAAATGTTTAATATCTCCTTAGGGGTTGATATTTTCAAAAGATACGATTACTCTGACAAACAAGTCTCATCTGAAGGCATATTCTAAGTTACTGAATCAGAATATCTATCTATCTAATCTATATC